TATATATATATAACGTATAGGAAAGAATAACATATTTTTGGAGTTAATAGAGGATTGATATTGTACTGTGCTCCGTAAGTTATTGAACGTTTCTTAGGTTCTTGGTCTCTATTTGATGGATTGCTCGTCATAATTGGACCGCATTTACAAGTATAGACAATTGTTAATTAAACTACAGCCAAATGCGCTGATAAATCAAATTGAATTTCGCATCGAAATGAATTTTATTAAATATATCATATTTCACCTTATAAGTTATTCGATTCTATTTGAATGTATTCGAACGTATTTTGAAATGGTTCTACTAATGTTTCGAAATTTTGAATTTGTTTGAAAATATATATAAATCTAGTACTGCAGTTATACATTTATAAGTAACATCCAAAGTAAAAAAAAACCGTTCTTAAAATTTAGTATTTACATTTGAAAGTTGAAATAACTTAAAATTTGATCTAACTGGAATGACATTATTCAAGTTGATCATACCAAAGAATTCTAAAAATTGTCGTTACTATGGTAGATGAAGTCCGATTAAAGAAGCAAGAATAAATAATCTGTCGCGCGGGTAATTATAATGTAGGAAGCGACGAGATTCACTATCTGACTGTTCTTCGATGTTCTTAATGTTCACTATTATACTATGGTAATATAACGGCAAACAATAATCAACGGTGGGACTTGTATTATATACGTTTATCGAATTATGCATAATGCTGTATTATAAAGATTAGTCATAGATGAAAAGAGAGAGAGAGAGAGAAAGAGAATACCCTTGTATGTATAGACATATGATTGTTTAGATTCTCTGGCCGTCTACGAGTTTCATCTTTGCGTGGCTAATGTAAGCAACTCTTGATTAGGCGTGTTTTTTAGTATGGAAAATACTTCTCTCCACGAGTCGGTAGCGAATTTGGTGTTTTACAAATTGAACGTAGACTCTTTCTTCCTCGTAACGTAGAAGACGATCCGGTCCCCAAGCTCTTAGTTGCCGGATTGTCCGTGCATTGGACCAGGTAGAGATTGATCTTTACACTCATATTTATAGAATCAAAAACAGGTGCGTGCGTAATTAGGGGACTTTTTTTTTTACAAACGCAGGCCATTTTTCGCTCTTTCGAGTCTCTCCACATTTTTGGTACGTACACACGTTGAGGGACCGAAAGCGTCGCCTCTTCTAGTATCCAGTAGCGTGCAAAACTTGTATTTTAACTACATCTCGTGTGAAATAAACAGTATTCGTTTCTTTACTACTTATTGTATTTAGGCACGATTCTCTTAGCCATTCAAATTAAGGATAAAGCCGAAACAAATTAGAAGAGGCGCAGAAGTATATGAATGTCCGTCTCATTTCGACCTCTATATACGATTGTAAGCCGAACTTGCTGCTCTTTATCGACAAAGCATATATCTACGCTACGTACTTGTATCGTGTGTAAAATGTACGTCTCTTTCGCGTATT